TATTCCATGTTCACTGGATAGGAAGAATCAATATTGTCAAGATGTCATTCTTCCCAACTCGAGCTATAGTGTCAGTGTAATACCAAACAAATCCCAACAAGTTAATTCATGAATATTTACAAACTCATTTTAAAGTCTATGTGAAGAGGCAAAGGACCCAAAATAGCCAGCACAACACTGAAGAACAAAGTTGAAGGACTGGCACTACCTGACTTCAATACTTATTATAAAGCTACAGTAATCAAGATAGTATGGTATTGGAAAAAGGATAGACAAATAGATCAATGGAACAGAATAGAAAGCTCAGAAGTAGACCAAAATAAATATAATCAACTCATCTTTGACCAAGGATCAAAGGCAATCCAATGGAGCAAAGATAATCTTTTCAACAAATGGTTGAAAACAACTTTACATCTACATGCAAAAACATGAATCTAGACACTGACCTTATACCCAGCACAAAAATTAACTAAAAGCGAATCATAGACCTAAATATAACATACAAAACTATACAATTCCTAGAAGATAACATAAGAGAAAACCTAGATGACCTTGAGAAAGGCAATGACTTTTTAGGGAAAAAAACACCAAGGGTATAATCAAAGAAAGAATTAACAAGCTAGATTTCATCAAATTTAAAACAAGCTGAGACAGCAGGTGCCATACTGTCTGTACCATGCAGGTTCCTCTATCCTGCCAGGAAAGTGACACCCCTCGTTTCCCTGCCATTGGATCCCACATGAACATTCCCCAGCACCCACTTAAACTGTGACAACCACAAAGGAACAGGGACACACAGGAGAGCAGCAGGGTTCCCAGATTTCTGACCTGTAGGGTGGACTGCTCCCCAGGGAATGGGACTAGGACTGCCATGAAGACTTTTTAGGACAGACGAAGGTGGAATGCCCACTTTTCTGCACCAGAAAGCCCCAGGCTCAGGATATGAAGTTGTCTGCACCTCTCCAATTGGAGACACAAGTGCAGAAAGGAGTCCACAGAGAAGAAGAGGGTTTCCGTCCCAGAGTAGGAGCAGCAGCAGAGCCCGGGAAGGGACATAGAGATGGGAACCTCCCCTCCTCCAAGCACCCAGTGCTGCAGACATAGCTGTCTCTGCCCCCAAGCACGAGCTTTTGGCAAGGGTGAGCCGCAGGTTTTCCAGTTCTTGGCTCGAGGAGGATACAACCCCAATAGCACTCCGCTCACTATGCCTGGGTTCTGCATGGAAAAGGTGTGGCTCATTCCCCTCCTTTTACAGACAGGCAGTGATTTCTGCAGCTGTCCCAACCCAGGAGTCTCAGCTCCTAGATCTCTACGTCACTGGATCCACAGACAATGTCACCTAGACCCACTTGGACCACAACAGCCTTGGGATGCCAGTGGGTCCCGGGAGAATTGTGGGTCTCTCAGAACTTGGGCATCAGTGGGGACCACTTCCAGCTGAGAGGAGAGGGAAGCAGGACAGAAGGCCCCTTAGGACTAAGGGAGTAGGGCACTAGCTCCCTAGCATTCGGGGCTCTCTCTTCTTGATCCTCCCACACACAGACCCACTGGAGCTGAGGCAGCTGCGGCTGAAAGGCTGTTTCCACTTGGGACTGGGAGGATTCCACAGGGGAAGGTTAGGCCAGGGCCCTTGGGAGCAGCTGCCCTGCCTCTGACAGAGGGCCTGTCACACACCACCTCCTGCTGTGTGGCCTGGTTCCTAACAGGCCAGGGACCAGTACAGGTCTGCAGCCCAGGGGTAGGGGACTGCAGCTATAGAGGGATTCATCCTAGAGACGGTTTTAACAGTGCCACCCACTGTTATAAATGCAGCCCCCAATCATTGAATGGGCCGGGACACTTGAAAATTCTTTGACTATGAAGTTGTTAGTTCCCAGTCCCTGGATTGCTCTTCCCTGATTTACTGCAGGGTTGGGTCTTTCTTGTCCTTCAGATTTCAGCTTAAAGGCTACTTCTGCAGAGAATCCCTCCTTTGGTCACCCCTTAGAGGGCCATCTCATCCTCTTTCTTTATGTATCTGTTTATTTCCATCATCTCTTTCCATCACGTTCCTAACGATCTCTGTAGTAGATTCCTGATTGTCTCCCAACTTGGCTGTCAGCTCCAGGGAGGTAGGGACCATGTCTGTCTCATCTGCCAGGGCATCCACAGCTCCAGGCACAATGCCTGACCCATACCAGAAATAGTGGGGGTTCCAACATACTCATTCTGCAACAACTAATTACTATAAAATTATCTGTATCACCACTGAAAAGGAGAAGACCTGCTGTCATTATACTCTTCTCCAAAAAAATGCAATTTTTCATAAAATAAATTTAATTATAGATAACCTAATCATTCAGATAGTTTATTCCTCCTTCCCTAATTATATAATATGGCAGAGGAAATAACTTGTACTTTCCTTATGACTGAAGTGAGTCTAATTGCCCATTTATTCATTTGTGTCTCTTACTAGGCTCTAGAAACTTGGTTTCATTTTCTTACCATTATATACCTAGAACTTAGCTCAGCACTTAGCATGTTATTTCTTCAATGGAAATGAAAGGTCTTCAATCAAGACACTTGAGTTCTACTTGCTTGGCATACCATAATTCTTCAGAATCTCATTATTCTTCACATGCAAAAGTAACATTATTGGTGATACTATAAATAGAGCTTTTTGAAAAGAATGCAAAGTAATAAAGTAAGGAGGATAGATTCAAATATCTACTGAATACCACCATAGCCATATAGAAGATAGAATCTTCCAAACACTTTATTTTATTTAAGCCCCTCGACCATGTGAGTTAGGGAAAGCTAACATTCTCATGTTAGCAGATGAGAATGGAGGCAGGACTTGAATTCAGGTTTCTTGACTTCAAAGCCAAATAGTCTCTTTACACCTTGGTGCTTTGTTCCCTCTGCATTCAGTCCTTTCTCAGACTTGCAGCCAGCTAGTTTCCACTCCAGCGATGTAGAGTTAATTATGCGTGTCTGCACATATAGAAAGATTCAACCCCATGCAATGCATAATAAAGCTCTGGTTTTCTTACACCACTTAAGATGTGATGACCCTTGGATATTGAATAATTCTCTTCTTTCTTGAGCAAACTTAAAATGAGAGCTATGTTCCTATCATCACTGTTTTTAATTCATTTGGACTATCTAGTAATGTAGCACTGGGACTAGCCCTTCACTAAGAACTATTTTCAGAAGTTGAGGTTATGCTTCAAAGAAATACACAAAAATGTAGTGCCAAATGTATACCACAATTTTTGTGTGTCACAGGTACATCTACATTTATATACTAATACTACTTACATGATCTCAATTATCTTTAATATTTAGTATGTGTTCCAATATATCGAAATGAAATCTCTCGTGGCGCATATGCAATAAGTAAATACTTTATCAAGCTTATGATACTGGTTCTGCTCCTACTTGCTCAACAGTCCACTTGCTAATAGCGTCATACTGGAATCATGGAAAACAGTTCTGCTGGGAAACACTACTTCTTACAGTTCCTCAGGCAAAGCTCTGAGAAACGTATTGGGTTATGTCACGAAAATAGAGTTTTCTCTGCCTTCAGCAAAACTATGCCTATGCTATTCAGGTGAAAATGAAAATATATCCTGCTCTATACACATCCACAGAAGACCACATAATTTGTTCAAATAATATTATCCTTATCAAATAATACCCTGTGCCAGAAAAGTTCTCCCTTGAATTCCTAACTTTGTACTTCTTGTTCTCTTTCTTGTTCACTGGGGAAAATGAAACTTTGATAAAATTCTGTTCTCTCTACCTTCATAAATGAATATAAACGACATCAATTATTATTATTATTTTTTTACCATCTCCACAGCTACCCTCTCCTACCTGGGTCATTCAGTAGCGTCCTAACTGGTCACTGGGTTTCTGCTCTTGCTCCAAGAATGGTCTATTCAATACAGGCAGCCTTTTAATATGTGAGCCAGATCCTGTCATTCACCTGCCCAATGGCTTGATTCGGAAGATAAAGCTCTTTCAAAGGCTGGCAAGCCCTGCTGGTCTGGCCTCCTCATTGTCCCCACCTCCTGCTCTGTTCCTGTCACTCAATCCACTCCAGCCAAGCCGGCCAACTGGCTATCCTGACAGCATGCCAAGCCCACTCCCACCTGAGTCCAATGAGTCTGGGACACCCCTCCCTCAACAACTGCAGGACTCCCTCCCTCAAGCCTTCAGGGGTCTGTACTCCCAAGTGAGGCTTTCCTCTCTGTTATTGGCAACCTTGCACTTGCCCCTTCATTTTCCTCCTAGCTCTCTTTTACTTCCCCCTTCATATACTTTATATTATTACTTTCTAATTTATTATAAAATTAATTTGTTTATCTTGCTTATTATTTATAATATTTCTCCCCAACTGAATATAAGCCCAATGAGAGACAGTAGTCTGTTTAGTTCTCTACTGAATCCAACAACTAAAATAGTCTCTACAAGTAGGCATTTAAGAAATTTTTGATGAACGAATGAATGAATATCATTCTGAAATCAAATCATGAATTAAATGAACATTTATTGAATCCCTATTGATTGTACTAGGAATGTGAAAAATCAGAACATCCCTCAGCCCTAAAGAAACTTATATCTTTTATCATAATATACAGGACCCTCACATGGATGAATAAGGAAGAGACACATAAAAATATTAATAATAACAAACTGCTGAAGATTTCTTGGACTGATACATATATTTTAAACTTATTTATGAGAATGTGGAAACAGCAGACAATGATGATATTTAATAACTTGCAGAAACTAAAAGATATGGACATTGAACCATAGTAGTAGTATTACTACTACTCTGAGATAACTTAAAATAGTGCCCTTATCAGGTTTAATGATGGAAAGTTCCTATATCACAGAGATACTTTTCAACCATTCAATTCATAAAATAACTATATCAAATATATTAATATCAAAGTTATACCATATGTTACTGTTTGATGCCAAAGAAATCCTACACACATTTAATTACTTACTTGCAACCAGTGGTTCCTCTTCTGAGGGTTTAAAGTAAAAGGAAACCTTTTCTAAATCAAATAGTGCAACCAATGTATCTTCTAACATGGCTTGTTCATCTGTCTACAAAGAAAGAAAAACTATGTTTAGCACAATATGATATAATGTAATACAATATGACACAAGGTAAGTTTAGACCCAAAATAGCTTCACTTGTGTTGCATTTACATACAGGTACAAAACAAAATTAACATCGCTTCTCTAAGAAATCACTGCCCAAAATGAAATTAACAAATCCCTCAAAGTTACAAGTTTATTTATTTATTTTTTACTTTTTCGAGACAGAGTTTTGCTCTGTCTCTTGGGCTAGAGTGCAGTGGTGCCATCATAGCTCACTGCAACCTCAAACTCCCAACTCAAGTGATCCTCTTGCTTCAGTTTCACAAGTGGCTGGGAGCACAGGCATGTGCCACCACATCCAGCTAATTATTCTATTTTTTGTAAAGACATGATCTCACTCTTGCTCAGGGTGGTCTTAAACTCCTGACCTCAAGCAATCCTCCCACCTTGGCCTCCCAAAGTGCTAGGATTACAGGCATGAACCATAGCACCTGGCCTACAAGTTTCTTTTATGATTTTATTTTACTTTCCCCCTATCGTTTGAATCGTATATACACATTTTTTCAGTCTATTTTGCAGCTAGACATAATGATTTATTATTTACAAAGAAATACATGAAAAGCATGCTATTTGCCTCTAACCATCCAAAATATTATAAATTATAACTGCTGAGAAACAAAATTATTGTTTTAGTTAAAAGCTACACTACACAATAGTCATCCTATTTTACTAATTATTCAATTTGTTACTTATTAGAACTGTGATAAAAGCAATTTCCATGTTTGTAATTATTTTTCTTCCCAAGAGCTTGGGGACAAGAATCATGTTCACCTCACTTGTCTTTAAGGGGCCTTAGCCTAGAATCTTGTGAATATCTGATTTGTGTTAGTCATTTTATCTCATTCTTACAGCATATGATTTGATAGCTGAGGCAGACAAAGCCCTGTCACTATAACAGATCCTATTTGTGCCTTAGTGATATCATCTTTTCAGTAGTAGAGTCTTGTCTTCCCATCAGCAGTTTAATGCATTCCTACAGGGTCTTTTATTAATTTCATTATGAAAATATAATTCACCTTATCATGCACAGCTTATCTTTTAAAGCTAACATTTGTTTCCTTAAGAATATCAATGATCCTTTTAAACAATATGTTAACATGCTGTACACAGCAGTTTAAAAAATTGCCGTAAGCTTGTAGCCATATTTTGGGGGCAGCATTAGTAGAGGATAAAGGAGATGGTAAGGAATTTCCACTGTGTGAAAAAGAATGAGCAAGTTAGCCCCAGACGCCAAAAGGGCAGAATGGAGACAGAGAGGTTGGCAGAATCGTCACCTTTGCACTTTGTTTTGATTCTTAATATAGTCCATAGAACACAGAAAGTGCTGGATGAATGTTTATTATGCCATCATTATTATTATTATTATATAAAATCCTTTCAAAGCAGCAGAAAAATGCCATGAACCTGGAATGGAAGTCGAGAACTGAAAAATCAGCATTTTTCTGACTGCAAGGAATAAACACAGGAAGAAATGCCCAAGACAGTCCATGGTGCAGGTCACAATGTTCCAGCAGACATGGCCAAAGCAATACCCAAGTGGCCACTGGCTGTGCCTAGAGCTCAGGGACACAGAGAATGCCAGTGTCTGCAGCTCCCAGAGACATTCACATTCCTAGGTGGATTTTGTGCTCTAGTGACAGAGGCAGAAAGACTATAGGTTTCTTTGAATATGCTTTCCTTAGCAACCTTTGGATTCTAAAAAATCAATTTCTGAAATAAATTAAAGGATTCACAAGACCACTTTAAAAATAACCAAACAAGTTGCATTGAGATATAATTCACATACTGTAAAATTGTTGTAGCCCGTATCAGTCTTTTGTTTCTTTATATTGCTGAATAACATTCCATTACATAGATATACACTTTATCCATTCATCACTTGATGGGCATTTTGGTTGTTTCCACTTTTTAACTACTAAGAATAATCTTGCTAGAAACATTTGCAGACAAGTTTTTGTGTGAATGTTAGTTTCCATTTCTCTTGAATAATACCTAGAAGTAGAATTTCTACGTAATATGAAAACTCTATGTTTCATATTTTAAGGAACTGTTTTCCAAAATGACTATACTATTTTAAATTCCCAGGAATAATTTATAAAAGTTACAATTTCTCCACATCCTCCCTAATACTTGTTATTATCTGTCTTTTGAATTACAGCCATCCACACCACACGTGGTATATACATTTCATTGTGGTTTTGAGTTGCATTTCCCTAAGGATTAATGATGTTGATTATCATTTCATGTGCTTTTTGTCCAATTTTATATATTATTGGGAGAAATATCTATTCAAATCCTTTACCCACTTTTTAATTGGGTTATTTTTTTTTTTACTATTGAGTTTTAAGGCTTCTTTATATATTCTGTATATCAGTCATATCAAATATATGATTTGTAAATATTTTCTTCTATTCCTTGAGATTTCAAATAAAATTAAAGTAAAAGTACGAACACTTGATTAGACAATGGAAGTTTTAAAGTAAGGAGAATAAAATAGAAAAGATGCCTTATTTATTCATGAGCTCATTCAATAATTAATGCCTACCATGTGTTAGGAAGTGGTCCTTCTATCATATGTAATTTATATCTTATAAGCAATGATTAATATTTATTTTGTTTTTAATCACTTTTCCAAAAATGTCTTATTTTAAAATTTTCATTAATAACGCCAAATAAAGTGATCATCCACATGGAATGTGCAGAGTCTTTTCAAAAGAATCTACTTCTATTTCTAGGAAGTACACTGAGAAAGACTTTACGTTATAATTCCAGAACCTTCTATGGCTGTGCCGTGCAACAATCACTTTCCTGTCCTCAACATTATTGAAGAGAAACATAATTTTGTTGTATAAATTCATATATATTTGTTTAAAAATTCTACCATATTCCTTGATAGCTACATCTTCTATGAACACAGAGAAGAAATAGGCTCTCATGTTTAAAATCACAATTCTATTTAGTGAGCACCTAAAGTCTGAATATAAAAGTGAACATATTTGCTTTCAAACATCGTGACAACTGTCCGAATCACAGCAGGTATATGAGAAAAAACTCTTACGTTCACCATAGTTATATTTTTCAAATATTTCAAGTTGCTTTCTTCATAGCCCCTGTGGAAAACTGATGCATAAACATGGAATAGTCTACAGTAATTAAGGCAATGTTCTTAGATTTAACAGGACAAACATGCATACAAAGGGAGGAACTAAAATTATTTAACATATGCAAATTTTAAACAGATTGCAGACAGTATGGCATGCAAGTTGTCTGAGCCGTCTATTAAACACGCTCCAGAATATCAACCTCCCGGGAGCTTTCGTTTTGTGGCAGGCTGTTTCTTCTGGCCTGGGAATAAGGAACATCGGCAGAAAGACCCTTTTTCTTCTGATGACCTTTTCCAGTCAGTGCTTAGGGATACAAGAATTAGTAACAGATGGAGGCTTTGTCAGCTTTTAGCAGCCACAGAAAAGAGATAAAAATCAGGAAAGAAAAAAATATATTATACATACTTATTAAAGCTTGAATGGCCATGGAAATATGTATTTTTTAAAGTAGCTAAATGAATGCAGATCCAGAAATAAAAGAGATAATGAGGTGGAAATGAATAACCACTTCTTATTTGGGAACATGTTACAATGCAGGTTCCTATTGACAAAGACAGTGGAAGCCATGTGATTTCTTACCAAGTTTGGTGACAGAAGTGACTGAAAGTGAAAAAGAACGCCTGCATTTGTTATCTGTTCCAGCCACCTCCTGCTGGCTTCCCAAGTTTCCATCTCATTTTCCTTGCTGTTGTCAAACATCTGGTTTAAGGCCGCCATGAGTTGCTCAGAGAAGGCACAGACGGTGGCCACGAGACTCTGGCAGAAAACCATGTCTCTCCGGAGCTGTGTCTCACTGTCTGCGATCCAAAAGAACATAAAGATGACTTTGAAAAATGCTGCAGGTGGAGAAAACTAATTCATTAAGCATCTACATTCACCGGTATTTTATATGTTCATTAAACTCACTCAATGTGAAAAATGTGAATTTCAGCTCTATAAATGAACACATATATTTTTAGCAAATGTGTTTTTTACAAAAAACACTAAACACAAATGTTAGAAATATTAAAATATTTTTCTTAATTGAATTGTGACTCTATTCTGCAATCATTAAATTATTTGAGAAAACCTGAAAGAAAAAAAGACTCCCATTTTTTTTTATGTTTTCTTTACTTGATGGAACATAATTTGCATTTGCTACAATGACACTTTCCTAAAGGAAACTTGAAGTCCAATTTTTCAGTTTGTGCTGGCAAATGAGATACAATATTATTAATACTTTTTTAAAAAATGACATGTTCAATGTTCTTGGTAAACATCTTAAAAATTATGCCTTTTGCAATAAAACAAGAGCTCACCACTGAATAAAGGCACCTTTATCTCTGTTGTACATTAATATTGACAATGCATTTTCCTTCCAAGAGATTCTATGAGTATTAGAATAGTATTAATAATACTTTATTAATTACCCACTGAACCAACTCAAATATTAAATGTGAAATACCTGTGGGGAAAAGAGTATTTGATGTTCAATTGTTTGTAATAATAGGCAAATCTGTCTCTCCTGAACTGAGTTATAAACTCATGAGCTATAAATATGCCCAAGTTTATAATAACATGAGTTCCTATAATTCTTTGACATAAGTAATGTATTTATAGTTTTAGTAGGAATTGATTTTTATATATTTATTAGAATTCTTATCCTGCAATTGACTGGATTTTTTTTTTTGGATACACTTTGAAGGTATGTTTGCCCTGAGAACTGCCACTCCTGAGCCAGAGATGTTTTCAAATGGAAAGAAGCTAACATATAAGTTTCACTTCTTTGAGTTGTTAGATATCTACAAACTACATGAACACCAAGCCACACATCCAACACGTTGAAAAATCACTTCCACTAGAAGAACAACAAAGGGGAAAATAATCTAATCCCAAAAGTATATTGAATATTTCAAGGGCTCACAGAATCTCTTGTCAATATTAATGTATAACAGAGATAAAGGTGCCTTTATTCAGCGGTGAGCTGTTGTTTTATTGAAAAAGGCATAATTTTTAAGATGTTTACCAAGAACATTGAGCATGTCTTTAATAGCCATCAAAGGCTATGTACACTTAATGCAGCTTCTGTGTTACTCAGTCTCACTGTTAGTAATACTCTTAAAAATTTTATTAGAAAAAGAATTAAATATTCAAAATGTTTAATTTTATGTTGAACACATCTATTTATTAGCTTGAACTATTATAAACTTGCTGCTCTGGTAGGTAAAAACGGTTGAAGATGGCAATTCCATATGGTTCAACTTACTAATTTAACCAACATGTGTTAGACATTTCCCTTAAGTCATTCTATACCATGTGCTCCATGCTACCAACTGGGAAAGAGCATTTACAGGTAGCTATAAAATGTTTAAACTGGGAATGAACTTTGTCCAATTCTCAATTAACTATAAACCAAAACATCTATTTTCTTGTGCACAATTTCCAACAGAGAGTAGATGTTTGATAAATGTTTACTGAATGAATGAAAATAATGAACCAGTGGTGGTAACAAACAAATGAATTAAGTCAAATGAAAATGCATGAGTTTGTTCTCTGGCTTCCTGAAATGTCTGGATTTAGTTTGACTTAAGAAGGTAATTTAGATAGTTTGTTAGCTCCAATGTTCAGCTAGAGTATTAAGGTGCAAGGCAGAAACTAAATAAGTAAAATTTGCCCTATGTCTTCCTTCTACACCCTTACTTTTGCTTTTTAAGTGTCCTATAGTGAAGCAGAAAATCTGGGTGAATTTTTAAAAATACTTCAGTAGCTTTGGCAGGAATACTCCCACCTATAACCCGAGAATTATTTAATGAAAACCTAATTGGAAAGAAATTGCTGCTATCAAATGAGAAGCAAAAATCTAGAGAAGGAAGGATCCGGTTTTATTTTGAGCTTTAGTAAAGATCAGAAGGGTTAATAGTTAGAAATAATTATCTCCAAGTTGTTTTTAAGAAGTAGTTCCAAAATTTCTTCTTTATCTTAAAAAATACTTAAATGTTGTTCTATTCTCTGCTACTATATTCTATATGCATTTAAGCCAAATTAAGATTTTCATTCAACCTCATTATCAAATCAGAACTGATCACAATTAATATTCAAGTCTTTCCGATATGTAAAACCTGTTGATAACTTAAAGTTGCATTCATTCATGAATTAAAACTTTTAACACTAAGTACCCCACAGAAATTAAACATTACACCAATTACTGGAGGTATAGAGAAATCCAATTTGGAGCTTGGGCCATACTTAATATAAACTCATACTTAGTAAATGCTTATTACTTCAGGAATGACATTCTGTTACCATCTTCCTATTTTTAACACAGTAGATGAATTGTTTGCACTGATTCAAAATGTATATAATGTATCAAGAGCTTTTCAAGTAACTTTTTACAAGTCATCATCTCACAGTGAATAACAAAATTAGAAAACTCAGTGGCATAAAGGGGTCGTTGCAACGCATCCCCAAATCATATTCACAGTATCTCAATATACCACCTCCCTCATTCACTGTGCATTCCAGCAACACTCTTCACAGGGTTGCTGTGGGAATGTAATAATAAAACGGTGGGGTGCACAGACCTGTCCTCTTTGTGCCACACAGCACTGCTCAGTGTTCCTCAAACATCAAATGTCCTTATGGCCCACACATTGCCTATAGGTTTCCTCCATCTGTGCACCTTAGTCTTTTCCATCCACCTGGCAAACTTTAAATCATTCTTCAAAAGTCAACTTACTGAATTTCTGAAACTCATTGAACTATTGAAATATTATCTCCACTAGTAAAATTCCCCCCTCCCCCAGGAAGTGATGTACTCTTCTTTGTGTCACCGCATACCTGGGGTCATCCCTCTAATCGAGAGCTAATTATTTAGCATTGTGAGTGTTTGCTGTTCACCTATTTGTGTTCTCCAACGGATCATCAGCACATGAAGGCCAGGAGAAGTGGCGTGTCTTGTGAGTTATGCTCACAGGCTTTAGAGGCATATAATCTGCTTTAAACCATTTTAGACTGTGTGAGTTTAGATATCAGATCCCCATATGCAAAATGGGGTTCATTCCTACATCTTAGATCCGCGATAAAGATAAATGAGATAAAAACATCTAAAGCACAAAGTGAAATCAGGTAGCATAGTCATTGTGATCCTATTTTACTCTAACATCTAGCACAGTGCCTGGTACTGAGTAGGTGCTCAATTGTATTGCTGAATGAAGAAGGGACAATATGAATAAATAAAGAAATAAACCAAAATGGACTACCTGCCAGCAAAAACACCCAGGTCTTTTTCTTTCAATTATGTAGCGATTAAAAATTCACAACTGTCCATCCTTTACCAAAGGTATTATCAATAAGAAAAAACTACAGCAAGAATTATCTGCTTCCAGAGTCAAGCAAAAGAAGAAAAGCAGGAGTTCTGGGTTTTTTTATGACATCATATTTATTATTTTTGTAAAGTAAGATTTTTCTTGTAGTAGGAATACACTCAAAACAAGTGGGTTTTGTACCTATCAAAGGCTTAATTTCAGTACTTAAGCACTTACTTAAACTCATCTTCCACATACATTTAAAAATATTAACACCTTCAATTAATGTTGACGGTTTAAAAGTTAGAGTTCCATAATTAGCTGGCTGGTCTAAAAAGAATAAGATGGTTTCTAGACACACATAAGCAATTTCAGCTATTATTCTGACACAGAGATTGTAGGGAAAAGAAAGCAAAATAAAAAAGAAACAACAACAACAAAAAAGGAGATTAGAGAAAGAGAAAGGCAGGAAATAAAATAGGACTAAGAATAGTATTAAAAATAGACACAGTCCACCCTTTCCAAATGAAAAACATAGTTTCAAAGCCAACTATACAAAGTAATTTGGTTACTGTTTTGGTGGCATCATATGTATATGAGGGAAAAGAGAGTGTGCAAATAAAGTAGGAAAAGGGAGAATTATGGGAGGAATAGAAAAATAAAATTGAAATCAAAATAAGCATCTGCCAGAACAGACATTTGAATATTAATGAATAAAGCAAAGCATTCCAGAATCACTTCTGGCATTGGCAAAACTAAGATTGAATTTCAAAATTGCCACCTACTTTTTATTCATTTACTCAATAAGGTTTCAATATGCCCAACCTTTCAGATGCTAAAAAATATGTGCATGAATACCATTTGCTAGTTATTATTAATCTGCCTGAATATCAATTTCTTTACCTTGGAAACAACAGTAATAGCCTCACAGAGTAGTTGTGAGGACCCAGTGAAATCCATGAAAATGAGGTCATGAAGTGTCTTGTTATTAGGAAAGCTCAAAAAGGTAAGATATTTTTTATCATTATTTAGGTCATTAAATATGAAATGCCAATTTGGAATCAAAAGTGTAGTTTATTATATCTCAAACAAGAAGTACGATTAGCCAAAGTATGCACCAAAACTATCGACACAGTGTTGCCATCCTAACGTAGCTTGTTCATGCCAGCCAGCCCCAAAGAAGCCTGGAGAGCAAGTGGCAATGAAATCACAAAAGGCATTTTCCACAGCTTGTTGAGAATTGAGTATTTTTCCTTCCAAGAAGCAATCCAAAGGCTGGAAGAAGTGGGAGTCAGTTGGTGCAAGGTCTGGTGAATATGGTGGATGACAGAGAGTTTCCAAGTCCAGTCTCTGTAGTTTTAGCGGTGTTGTTTGTGCGACACGTGGTCGAGCCTTGTCTTGCAAGAGGATTGGCCTGTCTCTATCAACCAATCTCGGCTGCTTAATCGCAAGCATCCTCATCATTTCATCCAGTCGGTTGCAGTAGACATCTGCTGTAATTGATTGGCCAGATTTCACGAAGCTGTTGTGGATAATACCAGCACTGGACCACCAAACAGGCACCATTAGCTTTCTTTGATGAATATTTGGTTTTGGATTGTGTCTCAGCACTTCATCTTTATCCAACCATTGTTCAGAATGCTTGCGATGCCAAAAGGAATCCATTTTTCATCACATGTAACAATATGACGTAGACATGATTTGCCTTTATGTCGTGACAGCAAAGAAAGGGAAGCTTCGAGACAATTTCTCTTCTGACGCTTGTTTAATTCGTGCAGAACCTATCCAGCTTCTTTACCTTTGTCAATTTGTTTCAAATGGTCCAATGTTGTTAAAATAGTAACATCAAACCTTGCTGCTAATTCAGGCGTAGGTTGAGATGGATTGTCTTCCACTACAGCTTACAACTCATCATTATTCACCTTGGTCTCAGGTCACCACGTGGCTCATTCTCAAGATAAAGATCACCAGAACAGAACTTTTCAAACCATCAACATACTGTGTGTTCATTAGCCACATCCTTCCCAAACATTTGGTTGATATTTTGAGGTGTCTGCATTGCATTGGCTCCATAGCAGAACTCACATTCAAAAATAACACAAATTTTTTGACTTATCCATGGTTTCACAAAAATTGCTCTAAAAAAAATTTTGAACGATAATCACAAGCCAAAACATGTGTTTGCAAGACTGAAGATGTGCCTTCACAATAAAAATAAAACAAGTGTCAAAATGAAATGTCAGAGATATCAACTGGCAAACTCGGTACTTAAGGGAATAGAGTATTTCATACTTAATAACCAAATATTATTACTCATTCAAAAAAGCAAGGCAAAAATGTGTATAACCAAGGCAAAAACCAACCAACAGATAAAAACCATCTTGGTTAACTTGGCTCATTCAATCACTTATAATTAAAATTTTCTGAGTGTAGTAGATTGCAAAATGTTCACAAATTCTTCCCTTCCTTGTACCCATGCCCTTGCAACACAATTTTGAGACTCCTCCATCAAAAGCAGAGTTCATGTCTCTACCCCTTGAATCTGAGCCTGCCAGTTATACACCTTGGCCAAGTCAGTGGCAAGCTCTTGTACAACACTTCTCTTTTCTTGGAACCTTGCAAATCCACCATGTGAACAAAAACAGGTGAGCCTCACAGATTATGAGAGGTATGGCAGCCCTGTTACCGCAGCTAACAGCCAGCCAAGTGTCACATACGTGAGTGAGGGCACCCTAGATCATCTGTGCCCAGGTAACCCATTTCCTGGCTGCAGACACATGGGCAAACCCAGCCAAGATCAATAAAACCTAGCACAGATTAGCAGAACAGCCCAGCTGACTCCAGACAGGTGAGCAATAATAAACGATGGCTGTTTTAAGTCACAGAGTTTGGGGATATATTTTTTTTTAACACAGCAAAAGCTAACTGATATAACAGGTAATTGTTCCTGTATAACAGGTTATACTTTTAGGAACAAATCGCTATCAAAATCTAAAGTTAATATGATAGCATTTGTGCATACACACAATTTATGAGAAATAAATTAAAATAATACAAATAAGTTGATCAACATATCTGTATGTCTCTATATCTACCAAAAGCGAAACATAGCAAGCTAACATTAAACTATTCAACAGTATGTATTTGAGGTTCCATTTCCTTCTAAATGCATTTTTAATAAAAACCTTGCTAAAAGTTTCATAGATTCTTCCTTTTCAACCGTATCATTTTTCATTCATTTTTGTAACAAATGTTTGTTGAATATCTATGTGCCAGCCACTGTTTTAGGCATTTGTTGATGATCAAAATAGATACAGTACCTGCCTTTATGACGCTAACAGTCTGCCGTCTGTAATTTAGGGTTTCATCAAATATTTAATTGTCCTTCAGTGTCACTTGCCATTGCCAATATTTTTTGAACTCCCACTAAATGTGTGGTAGAAGTATTTTAATATGAGTAAGATCTGTAAAATGCTTACATACATCCTTGTTCATATAAAAGTTAGGTGCAATTTTATAATAAATTTATTTGCACAACTACCTTCAGCAAAACTTACTCCCTTTCTCCTTTGTAATGACATTCTGTTTAAATATATATGTACATATGAATTCATATCTTTACCTATAAATGAGGATGAATGTATGTTTTTGTGTTTTTATCAAAACTATGTATTTTTTCTAATCTTTCCAAGGCTTTAGAGAAGGTAGGGATCATATCTCTATATATCTTTGTAAATGGCTGAAGGCATGGCCTTCATATTATAAGATATTTAAGATCCTGGGCCAGAAAACTTCAATGGTAAAAATAATATAACATGTTACCTGAATATTCAAGAAGAGCCAGGAGTATCCTACACTTTACCTCTGCAGAGAAAGAAAAGAAAACACATCAGTTAGTTGTTCACTCTTCTTCTGCCACAAATACCACATTTTAACTATGTAGCATAAAATTAGCACAATCTTATTGTATTAGATAATAAAAATCCCATTCACTTGACACGCTACTCTTGATTATTGGCATATATAAATTCTATCCATTGTTCAAGATGCTAAAATGTCTTTTAACCCTGAATTATATTAGTAGATAAAACACCATTCAAATCCTACCAACTTTGTTGGTCATCCTTAGCTATTTTAGCCTGCACAGTGTTGTCTAAACTCCTACAGCTGTTATAGTGTATGTCAATAAACTGTGAACCAATATTTTTGTCATTGTTATTTTAAAAAGATTATATATATATATACATTCTTCTTTTTCCACCATATCCTACACAGGGCCAATCAGAGACGTTTGATAAATATGTATTAACTTCATACTAATTACTATGTGTTCAATAAGTTATGAGTCCACTTGCTTCCAATAGTTTACTTGCAATAGGTAAATTTAAAAATTTACACAGTTCCTGCTAAGTGCTCATGATTATGGAAAACCCAAAAAGATTAAGCTGTATCCTATTCTAGATAGGTTTACAATAGAGTCAAAGAGACAGAATTAACTGATAAGAAATGCAGGAAATACATGGAAGGGCACTAAATTTTATAACCGAGACTGCAAGAACAAAAGGATTTCAGAGCCAGGAAAGTACACTAATCTAAAAGTCAGAAGACCTATCTGTTATATACTAGGTTTGTGGCTTTAGAAAATTGCTAACCTATTTTTGAGTCTCGGTGCATTCATAAATGATGATAATATCTAACGTATCTGTTTTACAGGCCTGTGTAGGAAAAATGAGTGTGAATATATATGAAAAGTCTTTGAAAATTGTTTAAAGTGCTCTGTATACACCTGAAGACTGTTATTGTTGTAATCTGGATCGAGCTGAAGCTGGTATAGAATTCTAAGTCAGACTGGAAAATATTTTATAAAAAAATTTTAATTTTGACTGTCAAGGGAGTAGGTATATATTCTAAGAGTGAGAAATTGTGCTAGCAAAGGAATATAGTAAAGAGCGAATAACAATTATGCAACAATCTAGCACCGAGAGATGTTATTCTTAAGGACTGAGACTGTGATACAATTAGAAAGCCACACTGAAAAATGGCTTCTTTCTCACATCAGATTGATGAGTGTACACTTATCTAACAGAACATCACGACAAGCTCAGTGGCAGAGTGCTGGCACCAGGAACATGGTGTTTTAGGAAGATGAACCTGGTAATGGTATATACGAATCAGAAAAGATGGAGACGGGAGATTAGCCAGAAAATCATCACCATTACTGAGACGATGATGAAAAAGGGGAAAACTGAAGAAATACTCTTCAGGATAATAGGATAAATGCAGAAAAAAAAGGAAAGTAGGTTACTGAAAAAAATGAGAGACTTTGAAAAGAGTATACAATTTTTTTAGGGAGCAAAGAGTTGAAAGTATGTTTACTAATAGACATTTGAATTTAAGGGGATGATGAGCTGCCCAGTAAAAATATCTTCATTCAACTGATAATATGAGGCCATAACTTAGTGAGAAGTGAAGAAGGAGCCAGGCATTATCTTAGTGACACCAAACAATCAATCTGTCCCCCCTTAATCCACTAGCTCCTCTGTTCTCTTCTACCCAGTTTAACTAACCTGCTATGGATGGATGAGTATATAATGATATAATTTTTGAATGGCACTGTAACAATCCTTCCTAAAGACAGATCATAGAATTATGATTTTTGATATATTTGGTATATAATTGATATGATTTGAAATCAGAGACCAGGAAACATCAAACCGGGTCACCCCAAGCGACCTATATAAAACATCAAATTCTGGTCAGGTAGCATTATGTTAAATTTCCAGCCAAGACCTAACCCTCCATTAAATCATTCTCTAAATCAAGACAATTTCAGAAGTAGAATGAAAATGACTTTAAGTTGAATAGTATAAATTCGTGCTGAACTGGTGAAGTTACTTCAGAGTACCTCTACGCAACAAGCACTGACTTCAACGATCCCAATGTTTCCATTCCACATAACAGGACCAAACACCACACACGTTGCCAGGAAATGGCAGCATGACCTCTCCAATGCATAGTCCACTAGGCTGGAGCAATGATGGTAATCATTTTTTAGATAGTCACTTAACACAGTAGTAACAATCATAGCTCTTAACCAAAGAGCTCACTGAAACTTGCAACCCTAGATGCGACTTACTATAAATTCTACAAAAAGCCCCCTCTACACACACACTCCCTTGACTCTAAGAATCTTAGCTCACCCAACCCTACTCAACCAGCTGCTGGGCTCCCATGACCACAGTCGCACTGATACTCATATGTCAATCAATCCATCAATATAAGTATATAGTTGTCATTCCTACAATGGCTTATTGTGACATGAGGTACAAAGCATACAAAAAGCAGGACTTGAGATGAAAATGTAAGATTCTCAAAATGAATACCTTTTTAAAAATTAAGCTTTTTATCCTGCATTAGAAATTTCTATCTTAAAGCTATTCAAAAAAATACAAGACAAAAAAGGTTTTAAGAATTCTTCCATTTCTGTCCAACATTGTATTTAGTCAAAAATAAATTTATTATTAAAAAAATACTCAAAGATGATGCGAACAACTGCAGAATTATAACATCTGGGAGTCATATGATACTGGCATCTATTCAGCAAAAATATGACTTTTACTGTTAAGTATATGCTTACATTTCCTAAATTTAACTGTCTTTTAAAAAGGCATTTATCATTGATGCTATTCATTATCTTGGGAGCTTTTAAATTCAGACTTCCCATTAAATGTGATGTTACAAAGTATCACAGGTAACCATTATATTAAGCCATAAAATAAAAGCGCAGCCAAGAAATACAGCTGTCAAAAACAAGATTTTATCACCCCAACAGAATTGCTATGATTTATTTCGGGAAGTGTTCCATATCTGTACAAATGTCCTCTCTGCTGATCTCTAAACAATATCTAAGCCATTATGTTTGAGTATATTTATGTGCAGAAGACTTAGTAAACCACAGAACATTTAAACCATCTCTGTCATTTAATAAATGTGGAAGTCAAAGCCTAATGGAGTTAAGTGACTGGCTCAGACTCCATCAGGTAGAAAGAGCTGTCTTTTGTCAGCAAAGTATACAACTCTCTCCAATTTACCCTAAAAAAGAGACTGAAGAGATGCTGTAATTCTGATGAATACTATTTACCACATCTGACAGACATACAAATGACTGAGGAATAATAATGCAATCATAAGCAAAATATTTATCATATGGGTTTCTCAACCTTACCACTATCAAAATGTTGGGCCGAAAAATTGTTTGCTGTGAAGGATTGCCTTGTACATTGCAGAATGTTTAGCAGCACTCCTGGTCTCTACCCACTAGATGCCAGTAACACGCCCATAATTGTGATAACCAAAAATATCTCCAGACACTGCCAAACCCTGTTCTAATCATTGGGAAGAAAATTGCTGAAGTTGACATTTTTAAAATTAAACAAATTTCTCATTTCATCTTTTTCACCATAATCATTTTGGAAATTCTCACAATTTTCTACTTAATCACCCTGACCCTAAACATGGTGCAATCAGACTCACTGGAGTTGTCTCGAAGTTTTATATCTCTAATTGACAAGTTGTATCAATTATAGATGTTAGGTATTAATAAATAATGTTGTGGTAGTTAATGTCAACATAGACAAACACTTCTGAAATGGAAACTTAAAAACTAATGATGCAACCTATGGAATTATTTTGATTCTCACACATTTGATTCACAATTTTTTGAGACTTTCCATAAACTTTAGCTTCATAACTTTTGTGAATCCTTTAGAATTTTTTCTGATATTATTTCATATTATAAAATATTAAATCTCTCCATGTTCCATTTGCTTTCATAAGTTTGAGCCCTTATTTTATTCAATCAGAATATTCTCCATGTTATAGTCTACAATGTCTATAAGCTTGGGAAATGAGGTTCTGCAATCTTACTCTTTCTGTCCCTCTTTTCCCTCCCCATGTTTAGTCCTTTTATCTACCTAACAACATGAAACGCTGCACAAAACAATCAGGCATTACTGAACTTTGGGTTTTAATGGGTTTTATTTAGAATGATTCTTGCTAACATCATGCAATGTTCTTTGCCTTGCATGCTGACCTTCAACAAACTTTCTGATGTTCTGAGCAAGAGTCCGGACGCTGCTGGGAAGATTCCAAGGATCTTGCTTGATGTGAAGCCTTAACCTTTTTGGACAACTCAGCTTTGGTTCCATTTCCTGTTGAAATTCTAAATAAATACAGAAAAATCTTTCTTAAGTCTCAGCCCAAACACATAAGCTCAGAAGCTTCAGAATCTTCTTTCTTTCATCACTGTTGTCCTGGTTAGCATGGTGATAATTTCTTTTGCCATAGTACAACAGAACATTTGTTAAATGTGAAGTCAAACCTTAATGTTATTTTCTTACCAATGTTTAAGCAAAGAAGCAAAGATAGATGAAGATTCTACTTTCGATATCCCAAACTAGATTTAAGGAAGCAGCAGCTCCATATCCTATTCTATTTGCCAACTCACATTCCCTACACCTCTTCCCCTCCACTGGGATATAATCAAGTAGGCATTATGATTACTTTTGGTTTCAGCAAAAGCAACTTAACACTTACATATCTTCAACTGACTCGTTTTTTGTTCAGCCTAGTCTCTGTAGGCATCAAAAATTTTAAACTTTCAAAGAAATCTAAAAGAACTTTGTACTAATTTTTTTACATATTCAAAAATTATCAAAATAGAAGCAATATTTAGTGATTTATGAAACACAAGCAACCAGAATTTTTCTTTTATACGATGCTTTTGCTTCAGGGCTATCCTATGTACCACTGTTTGTTTCTAAATTGCTTCTAACAGTAATTTTTTAAACCTTACCTTGTAATCCTCGACCTGGTGTGAGATACTTTGTTTGGTCAAAAGCCCTCACAACAGCCTGCCCTTTTAGGAGATTGGTAATTGAATCCACCTATGAATAGCAGAGATTTCTGACAGTTACTTCTCATAGTGCACAATATGTATTTCTAAGAGTAAATCCTGTACAGTATTTTTATTAACATAATTATTTTTGAAACCCCATGATGCTTGTGAAATCGACCTTTAAATAAAATATTGGAATAAACTCATATGTTAACATTTACAATGACATTTCTGACGATCTTAACATATATGAATACAAAATTTAAATTTGCCTCACAAAAAAGTCAAAGATCCAGAGTTATTATGAAAACCCCCCTAAAAGTTATTGGAATCCTTTTCAAAGTGGTAAAAGCTCTCTAGACTACCAGTTTTGATTATGGCTATAATTTTTTTAAATGCAAAACACCAATATTAGCACCAAGACAACTTTGAACTTTTAAAAATTAGGAATAAGCAAGAAATATCACCCCCCTGACAAAAAAGCCCCCAAACTCCTGTGTATGTAACTATAACTTTCTAAGGACTGTAAAATACTTGGTATTCTTGATATCCTTTAGGTTAGCTTGCTGAAGAAATCTATTCCTATTTTAAATGGCAGAAATTGAGGTAAAAGAAGTAGAGGGGCAATTGTGAGCATTTTTACTACATCTGCAAAGGAGATTCTGGACAGTTTAGTCAGTGAGAAAAAAAAAACAACCCACAAATGCCCTGATCATACCTGGCTGAAAAGATGCTCAAGGCAACTATGTATCTTGTCCTGTTTATCATGAGAAATGCGAACACTTAGAGGAAGTTCATCGCCTGGAACAAAGAAAAAAAAAACACCCAAATCATTCATCTTATATTTACCATTTCAAAATATTTTAATATTAGATAAAATAAAATATTTAACATAAATTCTTATTCCATATAATGATTCTCATGTTCAAGAAACAAACTCCAAAAGATTTAATAGCTCCTAAGATGTCAGATGACTGTTCTCCTGAAACAGGTGAAAACAGAGTGCTTCACAAAAATGACACTTGTCAACAACTCTTACAAATTGTGTGTTTTTCTAATGGTTGAAGAATTGAAATAAACTGCATAATTAAAAGTTAAGACTTGTCCTGATTGGATGAAGTTTTTGTTCTTAACACACACAAAATAAGAGCATCTAGAATATCTACAAGATATTTCTATCCATCAGTGTTTCTCTCAGTACCCTGCTCCCTGTCACCCACATATGAGGCCAGTTCAGGTGCACGTGCTATCTTAAAACTCCTTCTCACCTCCTTATCCCAATCAATAATGCCTAATGCTTTGAGTAAAATGTGTTTCCAGTGTACCTCTAATCCTTCATAGTACTGTAGAAAGAACATAAAACATATCTTAATATGAAAATTAATTCACTTCTTTCATCTCTTTTTCATTCACTCTCTTTATAATGGGATTGGGAAATTGACTTTATCAAGCACATAACACTGAAATGCAAATACATATGGCCACCAAGAATAATACAAGGTAAAAACGCATACGGGTCAAAGAAAGTAATCCCTTAAGAGTTATCGCCAATAGGACTAACATCAAAAAGTATGCACCCTTCCCCAACACACCTGAGTCCATTTCATCACTGTGAAAGTACGAGCTGCACTGGCTGCTGCAGATGCTGGTGAAGGAGGCGATGGAATTCCTATTGCTGTTGCAGTCACTGAAAAGAATGAGCTTCATGTTACTTTAAGAGTGCATTTGCCCAAGTTTCCCTGTGGTTTCTTATAACACAAACTTATGCGACAGCTGTATTAATTAATATGTATTATAGAAAATTGTAAGAAAGACAAACATGTTCAACTCAGTTTATCTTACTTCTCAAAAAATATGTATTTTAAATTCAATCGTATTTCAAATTTTTTTATGTCATGTACTCTAATCCTAAATGAATTTTGTAAAATGTGTAGTTATAAAACTAGGAGTCAACTCAAACTTAAAATTATTCATAACCTATTGGATGGTACACACTTGCAGGAAGATAATTTGCTAACAGAGACATAGTCCTGTTTCATGATTTCTTCCTTTCAGCCCTTTCTGGTAGCTTAAATTACAACTTATTGGCTATACTCTGAGCTTCCTTAGGGAGGATCCAGACTTTGTCTCCATCTCAGAGCTGAGCACAGGTATGTGCTCGGTAATGATGAACATCCAACAAAAGAATGTTTAAAATGTGTGTTTGTGAATATGGACCTATTACAGATTTCTGAAAGAGTTCAGGAGATAAAGTATTTTCTTTCATTTCGGAATAAGTAAAAGGGACTTATTTAACTTTAAATTTATATTTAAAATTTCTATCTTAGTCTAGAGGGAAACCGTCAGGGTAATTTTAATTATCTGATAATAAGAACTTGAGGCAAGAAAATCTTTTTAAACATATAATTTCCCACTGGAAAAAACCCCCACAGATTCCTATTAGGCAGCAGGTTGGTATGCTCGGAAGTTAAAAGTAAATGAAATGGTAAAAGTAGTTAATCTGTGTGATCTATTATTAAATCTCTAGGAATAATTAACTCTATGTACTTGTTAAAATCCTTTTTGGAAACATAAAAACTGGGATGGTAGAATGGTTAAGAGAGAAACTGTGAGGCCTGACCACCTGGTCTCACAGGTGAATTGTGTCACAGTTCTATGCCTCAGCTTCCTGACATGGAAATGGAGTTACTGTCAGAACCTTCCACCCAAGGTTGTGGTAGAGATTCTACAAAATCATCCTCTTCCCCCAGGTACCTGGGAAAAGTATATTTTTAATGTTAGCTACTAATTTGTGATAAATACCTCTGATGAGAATAACTTTGATTTAATATTGAATATCTCTTCATTACAAAACATAGTATAATGAATAAGAGGGCATAGACAGGTTTTGCCTTCAATTAATACAAATGCAACGGGAGGTGTCAAAGCTGTACACACAGCTTAGGTGGCAGGTTGTGGCAGCCCCCCAGGAGGTTTCAGGTGATACAAGGACTCAAGAGAGAAAAAGCCCTCATCAATTAAGGAAGTTCATGGGAGGAGCTGTCATTTGAGAGCCTGGTAGGAAGATGACAAAAGAGTTTGGAAGGAGTGTTACAGATTGAATTGTGCCATCCCCAAAATTCATAGGGTGATGTGTAACAGCCAGAACCTCAGAATGTGACCTTATTTGGAGATAGGGTATTTACAGAGGTAATTGAGTTTACAATGAGTCATTAGGATGTACTGTTAATCCAATATGACTAGTGTCCTTATAAGAAGGGGGAATTGGGACACCAAGACACTCAGAGGGAAGCTGATGTGCAGAGACACAGGGAGAAGATGACCACTCACATGCCAAGGAGGGAGGCCTGGAACCAGCAGTCCTAAGAAGGAACCAACACGGCCAACACAGTGGTTTCAAATTTTTGGCCTCCAGAACCACATGACGACATAATAAATTTCTGATTTTTAAGCCACCTGGTTTGTACTAATTTGTTAGCAGGATTAGAAAACTAACACAGAAGACATCCAAGAGAAGAAAAGACACAAAGCTGATCATGGATGTGAGCAAGTGAAAGCAGTCCAATTAGCTTGGAACAGAGAACGAAAAAAGAAGAGGGAGAGATAGGGCAAACAAACACTATTCACTCCCAATGATCAGAAACACATATGTAGAAAAAATGTTAATACTGAATAGGCACAATTTTCATATTTGCTATCCATGTTATGCAACCCACATATAATAACAAGTCTCCCCAATTAGGTCCACAGAGCTAGAAGAAAAAAATGCTTTTTCCAAGTACTCAGATGATGAAAGGGAAGAATTTGAAAGATAATGCTGTCCCATTATGCTCTGTCTGAGGTTGATAATAACATATGATCATTTTGAGACAAAAAAAAAAAAACTCCAACAATCAAAAAGTTTTTTCAAGACCTTTATGGAAAATACAGAATCGCATTTGACTTTGTTGATAAAATGGGTTTGAGGAATTAATGAATTACCTGTAAGAGTCTCTGTTGCTGATGGTATCATGACCCGAATCTTCCTGTTCATCTCCTGCTACGTTAAAACAGACTCGTTTGCTATTTCTCTCCCCCTTCTCGTTGTCGCTGTCTGTTGGTACTATACACTCTGACGTCTTACGTTCTAATTTAGGAGAATATGTTATCGAAGACAGAAGGCTGCAATGTGGTATTAAAAAAAAATAAGTGCACATTTTCAAACCGTCTGCTATAGATAACTACCTTATTTGCTGAATATGATAAGCTTACAAATATTTCTAGAGTGCTTCCATGTTTCACATCAAATATTCTATTGCATAAAAAAAGCATGTCATAGAAAGTTCACTTTTTTTTTCCCAGAAGAAGAAATAGCAACAGCACACACATTTAAACCAGAAAGTTGCATTCAAATCCTGGTTCTGTCACTTACCACTGTAGCTAAAACAAAGCTATGATAGCTGTCTTTGACATTTGCAAAGTGAGAATGGTAAGAATAACTAGCCCACATGACTGCTGTGGGAATGCACTGAGAGTAACACACTGCTGGTGCATAATGGGGTCACCTTTCTGTCCTCACCACGGCCACCCCATCACCACCCTGTGAAAACACTTTGGTCATTTTTAAAGTGCTAACCGAATATTAAACCGAGACACTAAATGTGCTTTGATATTCCCATTGGCTCATCCTTAGATATTGAAAACCCACCTACCCCTCTACTCCTGCCTTAGATTTCTCCCAGGCTTTCTCTGTTTGACAGGGAAAATATCATAATGTCAATCCCCCTCATACAAACAGGAGTCCTGGCCTGAGAGATTATTAGACACTAACTAAAAACAGAGTCACATATAGGGTGAAGACAGGAGGAAGCAACAGGGGCAACTGGAATCTCATCTGCAATCCAGCCAGGATGAAATGTCACAAATCTGCCCAGATGAGGAGCTCTTACACTTGGCTCCAGGCTAAAATGTCACATTCAGACTGAACTGGTGTGAAACTTTATGAAGACTTTGAGTAGCTGCCAATCTCGCCACTCCAGGCTGGATGTTTGGCTATGGAGTATTCCTGGTAAACCTGTCTAACTCAAAATTAGGCAAAAACAGAATTGCTTTTAATTACCAAACAGCATGCTACAAAACTTGCAAACTGAATTAAACCACATCTAAACAAAGGGCCCATGTGTGGCTTTGCATTCACTACATACCTATGACATTCAGTTCCAATCAACAGCACATATCGTGACCCTCAGTTTTCCAGAGCAATGTAATGTTTCTTTTGTTATTTCAAGACTATGAAAATACCTTATCTCTGTTATACATATCCCATAATATTAAGCCCAATGCTGTGCATTGAGTAAATACCTGTTAAGTAATTTCACTGACTAATTAAACACATTTATTATACCATGCATTGTTCTTGGTGCTTTGGTTATTGCAGTTTACAAAACACACCAAAGCCCCTGCCTCCTTGGAGCTCAGATCCTACTGAGAGGAGACGAAAAATAAACAAGTAAACTTTATAGTATATCAAATGGTGGCAAATGCTAAGAAGAAAAATAAACAGGGGAAGGAAGCATGAAGCTGCCATTTCAAATAGGATAGCCAGATAAGGGGATATTTGAATAATATTTTGGCATTCTATCATTTTTAGACACAGGTAAAAATTAGAGGAGCTATGTTACATTGCTTAAGATCCTATGAACATTTTCAATAACTGAAATGTAGGGATAATTTTAAACATTGTTTTTCTAGTTGGAAAGATACTTTTATGTCCTGCAAAACAGATTGTGTATTTATTCACCCCCTCTATTTAAGAGATTAAAACAGTAGACTAACTCCAATTATCCAAGCTCCATGCTGCACAGACAGATGAACTCCGAATACCAAAGAGGAAAGATGTGCGGGACTTCTCATTTTGACAACAGACCTCTCAGCTCATGGATCTTTTAAATTAGAAGCCATGGGGCTAAGTATAAACATTTTTTTTCAAAGTTATATGAATTATATTCACATGCTTGCTTTTAATTTAAAACAGCTGCATCATACCTGCACTGACCCTGCAGGAACAAATGTTAGGCTTACAAATGAGTGATAGAGAAACCATGCCTTTGACACCATGTTTTTCCATAAAATTTCTAGATTTTGAAAAATAACAATAAGGCATCAAACTATAATATTTTATTTGCGCATGCAGAAATATTTTCCCTTACTTTTGCTCATCTACAATATTAAGCTATCTACTAAAGGTCCATTAATTAAAACCCCAACAGCATGCTATTCAGATGAATCTCCTCCTAATACCATGATTAATAAAGACTTTGTACACAGTATATTGCAACTACCTGAGTGTTTTTAATATCATCCTCCTATCATCATGGCTAACATTTTTTGAGCTTTTATGCCAGTCACTATGCTAAGTACTTATTAATAACAGGTATTAATTCACTTAATCCCTAAAACTACCATATGAAGTAGATATCATTATTATGCTCAACGTTGATGTGACACTTGAATATGCTGGCGTGAATGGGGAGATTGTCAGTGCTGGTTCCCATGGTTGCAAATCTTCTGCGCACGTGACCAGGTGGCATTCTCCTCTCCTCTGAGGGCAGGCATGGCCATGTGACTTGCTTTAGTCAACGCAGTGTGAGTGGATGTGACATGGGTCCCTTCTAGGCAGAGGCCTCTATCCCATGTGTGGTGTGCCTCACTTCCTTCTCCCTGCTGTGACAATTCGACACAGTTCAGCTGTGACTCAGAGTGAGGACAAGGTGGAACAGAGTCCCTGTGCCCCATGACGGGCACGCAGAGTGAGCAAGAAAGAAACCTTTGTTGTCTTAAATCTGCGAGACTGTAGACTTTTTGTTAACATAACAACAAAGCTGGTGAAAAACAGGTGTTTCATAGAAACCAGGGGGTGTCTAGGGCAGTATGACACGAGTGCCGGGGCAAGAGAGCATCCTCTGTCCATTGAGTACCTGGGCAGAAGAATATCTCCTTTGCCTTGGGGTACTAGACACAGATTCTCTGCAGACCTGACATCAGCCTGACCCTTGGGTGCCCAAGAGGCCAGCCACGTGGGGCTGAGTTTGTCATTCTCCAGGAACAGAAAGCAGCTAACGCAGCTGGAGCTCCGTGAGGTGAGTGTGGAGAGGTGGATGGGGCAGGTGGTGTGGAAACTGGCAGGCCACAATAATACCCTGGATATTTCTTTACTGTGGTGTGATGCCATTCAATGGCTTCAGGCAGGGCACTAGCGCAGTTTGCCTGTACAAATCCCTTGGGTGTAGGCTGAATGCAGAGTGCGTCGTCAGAGAGAGGCCAGCTCGGAGGCTCCTATGGAGGCACGAGGGAGGGAAGACGAAGACACAATCTATGGTGAGAGCTATGGATATATTCTGAGGCGTAACTGACAGACCTTGGTGAGCTATTGCAGGTGGACAGGAAGAAAAGAGAAGCAGCAAAACCATTGCTTGGATTTGGACTTGATGGACCGGAGAGAGGGGACAACTTTATTGAGAAGGGGCAGACCTTGGTGGAGGAGGAGTCAGGACAGATCTGAGTATGAGGAAATTATAATTCAGTCTCAAAAACAAATTTACATACGAGACGTCTGTGGTGCATCCCGGTGTTTCATAACCCAAATCACAGAGGGCTGTGAGAATATAAGCCAATGTATATAACGTATAAACCTGTCTAGCAGCTAGGCCTATATTAAATGTTGGTTTTTATGAAGTCGTATCCTCTTTTTGTACATTTACCCTCAAAATGCTTATGGAAACTTGAAAGATAATTCCACTACCAACCTCACCGTTCCTATTTGTAACCCCCAGGTCGCTAAATGTCCTGCAATGCAGTTTGCTCATCACTCAGTCCTGGGTCACCTGCCACCTGCAAAATGAAGTCTATTTTCACATTTCCTATCTCACAAGCCCCAATACTCTTCATGCATTTCCCCCCAGTGAGAAAACACAAATCCTCTATTTTGAAATCCCACCCAAGATTCTGGACCTGAGTTATTCTTCCTTTTGCTTATTTCTAGTATCTAAGTGTCATGAACCAGAAAACAGCCCATTAAAGAGCAAAAGAATTTCCCCAAAGTGAAACAGGAATCACAAAGCCCTGATGAAATTCATAACGGCATCTTTTTGCACGTTACTAGACAGCACATTTGTCTCTAATTCTGTCTTGGATCTGAAGCTAAGCCGGAGGATTTTGTGAAAAGCCTCTGTGTTAAAGGAAATTTTATTTCTAGGAGAGGTATTCCCAAGTGACAGGGTAACCAGACTTCATGATAAGACAAGTTCCATCTCAGGCCCTTTCACAAGAAGGAATAAGTTCTAGAAAGGTTAGCAATGAGATGATATGAGGCAATTTCCCTTGAACCTTGGCAACACATCCCAGATCTGCTTCTCCATTCTGCAAAGACATCTTTGTCTGACCAAGAATAATTACTACATGGTGAGAAAATTGTTTGGTAACCAGGTTTTTAAATAATTTGTTAAGCTAGACTGCACTGCAGTATCTCGGAATATTAAGGGCCATGGAATCCAGGCACTGGGACAACCGTGCTGTTTTAAAGCAATCACTTTGCACATTGAATTATGCAGAATATATTTATATTTAGAATTAAATTATGAGATGTACACAGGGAAGACCAAGTTAGCTTCTCCGGTCGACTGTTCATTTCATGTCACTTTTCTAATAAACACACACAGTTGGGTAAAGGCTTTTAGAATAACAGAGGGGAAATCTTAAATGAAAAATAAGCATTTAAAGTCATGTTAGTCAATAAAAATGACTTAATCCCTTTCTGTAACTAGTGCTTTAAATATAAATATTTTAAACCAAGGGAGCTCTTTGATTCAAAATTTTTCTTGAAAATATTTCTACATGACCTGAACTCAAAACAACAACAACAGCAGCACAAAGTCAATAAATTAACACAAAGTCTGGACAATCACCAGGCAGTGTTGGACAGGCAAGGGATCAGGGGCTTAGTCTCTGCGTGGTGTCACCTGAGGCACATTAATAATCCTGCCACTGACAAAGGACTCATCCAAACAGTAGAAATAAGAAGTCTTGGAACTGGAAGTATGGGATTGGTGCAGATGTTCTTTTAAAGTCCCTTTGAGAGCTAAGATCTAGGGTTCAATGTCACTATTTGTTGCCTTATAAATAAAGACTCTTTTTCTGTACACTTCCTAAATACCTTAAGGAGAAAAGAATTGGCTTCTGAAATAGAACATATCATATAATAAGATCCCATGTATTAAATAAAGTAAAATATAATTCCCCTAAAATATCAGCTTCTCTGTCACAAGGATTCCAAGGCAATTCAAAAGAATCAAGCAACTGTTTAAAAATAGTCTCTTGTTCTTAATAATTTCAAACAGTTTAACTCACCTGTAAATGGGGAAGTCACAGCATCAAATAGAAAAGTTTAAAAACTGGTTTATTAGACATAAGAAAACAAAACTTTAATTCTCACTTACTCATAAAACTTCAGAAAAATAAAATAGCATATAGTAAATATTTGAAGCTAATTTTTAAAATGTGATATATCTAATATGGTGATTTTGATCTCTAAATTTCAAAGACATGCAAAATAAGAGAGCATGTCAATGACTTCATCAGTATAATATCTAACTAAAACCAAGGCTCGGAATAAGTCCTAAATATTTCATGTTGAAACTGAATTATCCATGGAACGATTGTCCGTAGATGATGTATGTGTGTGAAGTAAACAGTACACATCCATAGCAATTTAAATCCACAACTTCATGAAGACAGCATAATAAAAAGAGGATAATGGTGTTTATATCAGTTTCAGAATCTACCAACTTTGGATATATTCAATCATTTCCCTCTCATAAATTGATGAGCAAGCATAATACAGGCACTATGTCGACTGCTTTCTGTACTAACTTGTCTAATTTTCACCACAAACTTGTAATTCATTATTTGTCCACTTCTGTAGATGAGAAACTGAGCTACCCCAAATCCCACGCTGTTTTGACTATGCAGAGCTGCCCTGCCCGGGTGTGAAGCATCATCACACACCATGATGGCACAAATCATGTGCAGAGGGCAGGCGAGTCTGCCACCAAATTCTAGAGTAAGTAGAACTGATTTCTTCGGAACAGTGCTCATTAACTGCCTACACCTTTTCTTGTTTAAAATTATGGCATAGCTATTTGGGTTATTGCTTAGTAAGCCATTAATTCAATCAGCTCAGGCTGGTTTTAAACCCCTGGCCTCTCAAGCAATCCTCCTGTTTTAGCCTCCTAAAGTGCTGGGATTAAAGGCATGAGCCACTATTTCAGTTTATTTATAATACTTTATTTCTTTCATGGGTATCTAGTGAGTGTGTATATACCAAACATTGTGCCCTGAATTGTAAAGGATACAAGGAAATTCTCAAAAAAAAAATTAGTACTTTTTCAAACATATTTTTCAAGGTAATAATTCCACACTGAGACTAATTTAGTGTTCTTATATAGGACAGAATTTTGTCATTCTCTTCCCTGGCATCAAATGCTTACTTAAGATATATATATATATATATCTGTATCTATTTGCCATTTTAAAAATCATGTTTAAGGTGTTGGAATGTGGAGAACCTATATGATCAGCACAAATCTCCTACATTTCCAAAAGCTAAAGACTGGATTTTTCAAAAGCCACATTTTCTACAGCTATTTCCTCAGGCAAACTTGAAAGTACAGTACAAAATACTTACTCATCTATTTGGCAAACACACATCTCCACTTCTTTCATTGCAGTCTGAAGTTTGCCCAGCAGTTTATGATAGATATCTTGGGTTTCTAAGTCTTCTTCTTTTAACAGATACCTGAGCCCATGACCGTCTTGCTGTCCCAGAGACAGACCGGAAGGGGCTGCCATGGTCGTGATGGTATGCTGGATGTACACCATGGGGCTCAACTTCCCTGGAAGTGAAATCATTCCATAGCAGTATTTACTACCTTACCTTATACCAATCCCATCCAATTAATTCTATTTATGTATTTTAAATTGACAGATAAATTTATATGTATTACTATGTACAATACGATGTTTTGAATATTGTGGAATGACTAAATATAGCTAACTGACATATATACATTGCTTCACATAGTCATCATTTCTTTTGTGGTGAGAACACTTTATAGCCACTCTCTAAGCACTTTTCAAGAATACAATGTATTGTTAACTCTAGTCACCACATTGTATTAATATCATAGATCATCTCTTGAACTTACTCAAATCTCCCATCTAACTGATATTTTGTATCCTTTGACCAACATCTTCCCAACCCCCCCCCCGTTACTACCCTTTTATTCTCTACTTCTATGAGATCAACTTTTTTCAATTCCGCATATAAATGAGCTCATGTAGCATTCGTCTTTCTGTACCTGGTTTATTTCACTTAACATAATGTTTTCCAGGTTCATCCATGTTGTCACAAACAACAGAATTTCCTTTTTTTTTTTTTCATGGCTGAATACAGGGTATCCCAAAAGTCTCCATGCATAGGGAAAAATGAGAATTGTAGCTAAATGTTCCTTTATTTCCAAAATATTCATTACAAAAATTTCCCTTTATATGGGGACTTTTGGGATGCCCTGTAGTATTCCATTACACACACACACATACACACACACACCACATTTTCTTTATCTGGTCTTTTAGAGGTTCGAGACTACATAAAATAAAATGTCAATCCAATGCTGAATTTAATTCAGGAATTAAAGCTTATCAGCAGTTGTAATTAAAAGTTAGGAAGACAGTTCAATCCCTCGTCCTACGTCAATGGTGAAGAATGGCCTTGTACATCTCTGTAGCTGTCCCTCAGGCATTTTTCTCAAAGGTACAGGACAATTTTAGATTAGTGCCTTTCACAGCAAGATGAGTGAGTTATGCCCATCATACATATAAGGAAAGCAAGAGCAATCATCCTTTTTAGAAGAAAAATAATAAAAATGTCTAACTCCATTTTCATTCACTATATACTAATGCATAATTACACAAATGATTACAGTGAGGAATCCTTTCTTTATAAAAGTTCAGGCTTGTTTACCCACCAGGAATCTACTGAATTTCAAGCATGCAAGAATAGCTATGATTGCCTAAATTACATTTTGTGATTTGATAAAGTTTCAAAAGCTAACATACCTTGCTCAGAAGATTTATTTTCTTTATCATGAGAATTGTGCTTCCTACTATCCAACTGAACACCAAATGCACTCCCCAGGGAAGTTGATGTTTTGGGATAAGAAACTTCCATTACATTGACATGGCAGTTGGTGGGGCAGAAATCGCTGCTGTGTAGTGGGGAGATTTTAGATTTGGCCTGTTTAAAAGTGGGCCAGGCTCTATTCTTCAGTACACGAGAAAACTGCAAATTAAAGAAGAAATAGAAAGCAGTTGAACACACAGTAATAACTCAGATGTCTCACTTGCATCATCCATAACAAAATCAAAAGAAAATTAAATCGCGTCAACCGGAACGAGTGAAATAAATTATAAGTTGTTCAAATTAAATTGTTATTTCAAAACTCAAATATTCTCAATAAAGCAAAGCAATATAAGCAACAAATGTGTACAATTCCTTTGAAACTCTGATTGCACGTTAGGTGCTAAAACAAATGAATTTCAGTGACCAACACAATTTACTTAAGACTCAAATCCACAGACTCCGAACAGCTGAGGGAGTTTGACAGAGAAACCCCATGCCAGGACACCAGGACAGGAAAGAGATCTTCCAAACAAGGCAAAATGGCAAAATAGGGAAGCTGCCAGGTCAAAGGTGGAAGAAGATGGAATTATTGCAAACACAGTCAGAAAGCCAAAGCATGGGTTGGATGCAGGTCGGATAGCAAGGTGTGGTGGTGCCGACCAGGATGGCAGTACAGCTCCACCTCCCACACTGCCTGCTAATCGCTGCTGAGCACTGGGTCAGGATCAGCTTGAAGACTGGCATGCGCTCTGCTTTTATGCCATCGTGAATAAAGAGATACTCAAAGGATTTGTATGATTACCAAGGGTAGCCACCCACTGCTGCAAACCCTGCAGTGGGTTTCCATTCAAATCCATCTACTCCTCACCATGGTTTATAAAGTGCCCCCAAGTCTGATCCTCACCTAGTTTCTATCTCAAGTCCTCTCTCCTGTAGCCCCTGAGCTCCCTCTGGCCTTCACTGAGTTCCTCGTATACACTATCTACTCACTCTGGGCCTTTGTACAGGCTGATCCTAGAATTTTCTTCCTCCCTCATTGCCAAACACTTTCTTATGCATCAAGTTCTATCAAATCGCCACGAGGCCTCCCCTGAGCTCTACTCTAGGTTCCCTTTCCCTGGCTACACACTAGGTTGCAGCACACTGTAACCCTCCTTATAATTATAATATACATAATTATCTCCAGCTCCCCTGGCCGATGGTACCTACGTCTGTCTTGTGCCCCATAAATAGGTGTTTCATAGAGTTATATGAAATTGGAATCTCAAAAGCAAAGAACTGAGAGTCACTGGCTAACTGTGTTCTAGTTACGGCTGTCATGATTACTGATATATTGGGCAAGTTTAGTGTATTTTTATCATTCTTAGTAAAATGAGGGATATGGATTAAATAATCTCTATGTTCTCTTCTTCCTTAAAAATATAACCATGATCCTACTAGTAAAGTGATAATTTGGGCATGGAAAAGGACAAAAATTGAGACTACCAAGGTCACTGTCTAACTTTCCTAGGTTAAATTCAAGAATACGTATCAAAAATCATATCTCATAAATATAAGCTCACCATTAGAATATGGATTCTCTTATATGTATATACATTATACATATATGTGCATATATACACACATATATGCAGTATATCTGTATAATATACATTATACATGTGTGTGCATATATATGCACATATATGTAGTGTATGTATATATTAAACTGTGTTTTCAAATCACATCCAGAAGCTGTGCAGCTCAGCAAAGTGCTAGCACACAGTAGGAATCTAACTGGAACCAGATTGAAATGCAGGAAATTATTAATGAAATTATGAACAAATTTAATAATAATATATAGTAAAAATATCCTAAACACCAAAAGAAAGGAAGAAATTGAGAGAATTATTGGCCTATTTCCCTCACTTTACTAATAAAGAAACGGTGACCGGGACTTATGTGGGACAGACCTGGAATTGATGGCCATATCCAAAACTGCAGTCAAGAGTTCTTTCCCACTGCTGTTGCAGGATAAAAGTCTCAGATAAGGCTCCCATGGTACACACAAAGGTACAGAAATCAATTTTATTATGTCACAGCATCCACTATAATGGGAAGTTATGCTCCTCTTGCCTTCTTCCATTTTAACCAATTATCCATCCATTCAGAAATAAAAAGAGAGGCATCTACTCCAGACCCTGCACCCAGAGCTGCAGATACAGCACTTGCCCTCCTGGAGTCCATGGTCTGGTAGGCAACGCAGGTAAAAATAATGTAATATTATTATAGCAATTCTATGCACCACATATATAATACAGTCATGCATCACTTAACAATGGGGATACATTCTGAGAAATGCATCATTAGGTGATTTTGTCATTGTGTGAACATCACAGTGTTACACAAGCCTAGATGGTATATCCTACTACACACCTAGCTATATGGCATACAGCATATTTCTCCTAGACTACAAACCTATACAGCATGTTACTGTGCTGAATAATGCAGGCAACTGTAACACAATGGGAAATATTTATGTATCTAAACATAGAAAAGGCACAGTAAAAATAAGGTATCATAATGTTATGGGACTACATATATGCATATATCCATCACATATGCAGCCCATCATTGATCGAAACATTATGCAGTGCATGACTGTATATATACAATTATATAATGATTATATAAGAATTATATAATGATTACATAGGCCAGATGATTAGAAATTTTGGTATGTGCTGAGAAGGAAGTGAACAGGATGCTGTAATGAAATGTTACTGAAGCAATCTGAGAGCAGGGGGAAGATTCCCTCAACCAGGGGGACGGGTTTCCCACAGCTTTCCAATCTGTATCCCAGGCCAAGTGCCTATGAACCCTAGGTCCCTTTCCCCATATACTAGGAAGGGGTGCATACCACGTCTGAAGGTGCCTGAACCCTTCCAAAAAAGTAAGAGTCAGAGAGAAGCCCTCTCTGCTAAGATCCTCCTTAGGAACACGGTGCCACCTTCCATCCCGAGGTGTTCCTAGGAGAGGCAGAGGCAGCAAGAGGGACTCCACAGTCACAGGTACTGGAAATGTGGTGACATTTTGAAAGTCAAAACTGTACTCCCAGACAGCAGTCCTGCTATGTAACTGTGAGATCTTTCTGAAACTCAAAACTCAGATGAGGAAGGTACAGTTCATGTACTAATGGTGGTTTGTGCATGAGAATACATTCTGACTGTGCCATATAGCAGGAAATGGCCCTGTGAACATGAACCTGCCTATCTTTTTAGCAACATCAAAGCAAATACTGAGCTCATGAATCTGCTTTGGAGAGGCTCTCAAGGAAAGAAAAAAAAAAAGCTCTTATCATTGAATAAAAACAGCAATTTTAAAATAAAGAAATGTACAGGGTGTGGGGGGAAGAGAGTTAGGAGGGACAGGGCTTTAGATCTGTTATAGATAACATAGCCCAAACTTATTGCCACCTTTATTCACTTATCCAACAGTGCCATATGGAGGGCCATTGTAGCAGGCAGCATTCTCAGCATGCTGGGAAACATCAGTGAGCAAAACAAAGATTCCTGTCATTTTGGGGTGTTACATTCTACTGGGGAGAGAGAGAAACAGCAAATGCAGTAAGTTGATTACATAACCTTAGGAGATGGTAGATGTCATTGAAAACAAAGGAGAGCAGAGTAAGAGGGCTGGACGGTGCAGAGATGACATGAAGAACAGACTGCTGATTGTAATCACAGTGTTAGGATCGGCTCACTGAGAAACTGACACTCAAGCCAAGTCTGGAAGGAGGGAAGACTTTGAAATGCGGATATCTGACAAAGAATCATTCCTGGCTGGGGAAACAGCCAGTGCAAAAGCCCCAGGGATGGTGTGTTCAAGGAACATCTAGAAGACCAGTGTGGCCAGGAGGAGGGCAGAGGAGGCCACATGGAGAGGCAGTGGGTGGAGCTAGGGCAGGTCTCCTGGGGCCTTGGAAGCCACTGGAAGGGTTTTGCTTTGACAATGATTGAAATGCAGAGTCATTCAGGAGAACTGTGGATGGGCAGGGTGGCAGCAGGAGACCAGTGACAGCAGAGAGCGGGCAGGGACTCACCTGAGCTGTCAGCAACAGAGGCAGAGAGGAAAGGTTGCATATTTTGAGGGTAAAGCCAAGAGAATGGAATGAGAGAGAGAGAGGAGTGAAGACTGTATACAAGGCATTAGGTTGTCCAACAGGGAGTGGGGGAGTACTCCTGAGACAGAGGAGACAGCAGAAAAGACAAACTGCAGGGGCGGGGCAGGGATCAGGAGCTTATTTTGAACATGTGAAATCTGAGATGTCGGTAAGCCCAGCTGGAGAGATCAGGCGGGGCAGGAGACTGGGTGAGACTGATCAGAAGATTGAGAGTGGACAGAGAAAAGGAGAAGTCCTGAGCCCCAGGGCTCTGCCACATGAAGGGGTCAAGAAGAAAAGCAGGAAACAGCACAGGACACTGCAAATGGGCCACCAACAATAAAGGACAAAAGCCAGGCATCGTCTGTGTCACAGAAGTTTAAATAGAGGCTTTGGGTCAAGTACATCAGACCCTGCGATACAAGGAAGACCGCAAATGGACTTTGGCAAAACACAATTGACCCCTGAACAACACAGGTTTGACTGCCCAAGTCCACTTATAAGTGGAATTTTTGATTTGTGACAACTTGGAAAAACTCACAGAAGAACTGTATAGTCTAGAAATAGCAAAAAAAAAAAAAAACTAAGAAAAAGTTAGATACGTCATGGATGCATAAAATATATACAGATACTAGTCTATTTGATCATTTATTACCATAAAATATACACAAATCTATTATAAAAAGTTAAATTTTATCAAAGTATGCAGACACTTATACACTGTACTTGTCACCATTTGCAGTCAAGAGAAATGTCAACAAATGTAAAAAATGCATGCAGTATTAAATCATAACTGCATACAATTAACTATAATACAGTGTACTACAGTAATTTCATAGCCACTTCCCATTGCTATTTCAGTGAGCTCAAATGTTTTAAGTATCGTTTAATATGCTATATGATGCTAATCATTTCCACGTGAGCAGTTCCTCTCTCCAGTAAACTGTAATCACAGTAAAAAGTGATCTCTCAAGGTTCTAGCACATTTTTTTTTATCATGCTTAGAACAATACAATGA